TAGATCAGATATTCACACTACGTCAGGTTCTAGAACACAGACACACATTCAGACGCCCCACAATGGTAGTATTTCTCGACCTTAAGGCGGCATTCGACTCCGTTGATCGTGAGGTTCTATGGCAGTGTTTGTCACTGAAAGGAGTACCAAAGAAGTACATTAACCTTATAAAGGCTCTCTACTCGAACACAACTGGTAGAGTGAGAGCTTATGGCGAACTGTCATCAGAATTGATCACCTCAAGTGGTGTTCGTCAGGGCTGTCCACTCTCCCCATTCTTGTTCAACTTTGTCATTGACGTACTTTTAGAGATAACACTCTCCTCATCTAAATTTACAGGGGTTGAACTTCTACCAGGAGGTTCACTTGTTGACTTAGAATATGCAGATGACATAGTTTTATTTGGTGAAGACGCTGACAAAATGCAGAGTCTTCTGACCACTCTAAGCAACAATGCAAGCATGTTCGGGATGCGATTCTCTCCCTCGAAATGCAAAATGTTGCTTCAGGATTGGGTTACATCGACACCCGAACTAGTGATAGGGAGTGAAGTAGTTGAGTGTGTCGACCGCTTCACTTTCTGGGAAGTCTCATCAGCCCTTGTGGTTTGGTGTGTGACGAAATCTCAGCACGGATACAGAAGGCTCGACTAGCTTTTGCCAACTTGCGTCATTTATGGCGTAGGCGAGATATCCGTCTATCAACCAAAGGACGTGTTTACTGCACAGCAGCTCGTTCCGTCCTACTTTATGGCAGTGAAACATGGCCGGTAAGAGTAGAGGATATCCGTAGGTTACTAGTATTTGATCATAGGTGTCTTCGAAACATTGCTCGTATATCATGGGACCATCGAGTAAGTAACACAGTTGTTAGGAAACGGGTACTAGGTAAGGATGGCAAATCAATTGATGACGTAGTGAAACTTCATCATTTGAGATGGCTGGGACACGTGTTACGTATGCCCTACGACCGACTGCCTCGACGTGCTATGTTCAGTGGTATAGGAGTAGGTTGGAAGAAAGCTAGGGGCGGCCAGACCAAAACATGGCACAAGTCCATGAAGTCACTGACAAGTGAACTGAGTCATGTTGGTAGGTGTAGACTACCTGGTTGGGGACCGCGAGATGATAGCAACCGATGGTTGGAGACCCTGAATGATATGGCTCAAAATCGTTTGCAATGGCGCAGGTGCATCCACTCTCTGTGTTCTCCCAAACTCTAATCTTCTGAATTCTTCATGTCCCCTTTTTTCCTCTTTCCAAATTTCTTTCACTGGATTATACTCTTTAAATAACATCTCCAAACCCTAATCTTCCCGATTACTGCTTATACTCTTATTACCTCTATCACTACGGGATTTGAATCGACAAGTGCATCTCTGTGTTAATGTGGTGTGGCAACTCGAACTGATGTACGTACGTACGAAGTTCTACGATGTTACTGACTGACTGACGTGAAGCATAGCAATCTAAACCGAAACATATTTATCAGCAGGTGATGAGGGAAGGTAATGATTTTGGAAAACAAGAGATTATGATCAAGGTAGAATAAGTGGTTGGACAGATCTTTATAGTATATATAGTTCTAGGTTTCTAGATGTATGGCAAATGTTTCTGCAATGCAAAGAGGACGAAAGCTCAGTCTTTGGCAAATTTTTATCAACCTCGTAGACGATTTTGAACGCTGCGTTTGTCATGATCGAACAAACCGTGTTCACATGCTAATCGATTATTGAGACGTTTACAGACACATCTCCTCCTTTATGTGGCCAAGCTATGAAATGCTCATAGAATGAGCATTGAACTACATGCATAATTAGATTCATAAGAGCATGTAAACTGGTAATTAAGCACACACGTGGTAAGATCAAATAGCTTACCACTTAAACTTTTCCTGAACATCAGTTCGCTGAATACCACTAATCAATAAGTTTGTGAGTGAGAAATTATCCTTAGTATGATTGGAGGTTCGACGCCTTAGAAACTGATTTAAAGGATTTACTTCGATGGGGAATCTACTTGTAGTTTTAGATGTTCGAATTTTACAATTTTGTCAATAAGTCATGGGGGATATCTATTTTGACAATGACTTTACTTATGTTCATATGTCAAATCAGTACTGAGAATCCTTCGAATTCGTACAGCAGGAGACAATGAGATCCCCCACCTGCTTACCATTACAGACGTACATGTTGCACATTTATAAAAAATCAGAACTATACATAAAATGAACTTAATCAATCTCTTCTCCAACTATGGATGCAATTTCTCGTTTCCCAAGGTCAACCTCCTCCTCATATCTCCTTTCTATTGACTTTTTACTCCGTAGTGACGTATTTCTGCCTCCACATATTCTATGATCATACTTATTTCAAACTTATTATTTTGTTTTATCACGCTAAGCAACCCTTCTTCACAATTATTTATCTTTATCTATTTTCTTGATGAATTTACAAGGTCTCAACAACTACATTTCCAGTTTCTCAGTAAGAATAACATATCAGTACTTCTGCTTATCCCATCTCTCTATTATCATGTTTAACAAATTTATTACCATAACCATCATTCTTATTAACAGTTATATTCATTATCATCCTGAAAAAAAAACGAGTATATATTTTTGATCTGAAGCTTTGAAAAATGAATTTGCCGAAGAGAGAACTCTACTGAAACAATCTTTGAAATTTTTTGTTTCAATGAACAGATTTCATTTACATCTATATTTGTGCCAGTATCTATGTTATGACTGATTAGAATTATAATGTACTTTGATTAACAATAAAGGAAAATTAAACATGTGAATTCTATGCTTTACTTTTAAAAAATGAAATAAGATGAATCACTTAACACATTGTATGAATGTCACACTTAAATGGTAACTACTGCATAGTATGCTTATAGTAATGACAATACAATTCCCTCAGTTAGCACTTCAATTATAAGACAATATTGATTAATTCAGTCGTCCCACCTCCTTAGAATAGTCAGATAAATAAGGAACAAAGATGTAAGAGCACGATGATAATAATGTGTTACATATGGCTATTGTTATGTTTATCATTAACCAGTCTAATGAAATCGGAAATAAAAAGTAAATTTAAGATATTAAAAAAACAACACAGGAATTCGATCATAAGGAATGCGAAAAGGTAGCGCGCGCACACATAGCATATATATGTGATTAGAAACGAACCCATACACACAAACGACCAGACATAAAAACCAAATTATATTTCTGTTTTCAATTGAGACTACGATTTGGACACAATTTATTCGATTCAATTTTATTATCAATAAGTTGTTATGATAATACTATTAACAATGTGAATAGTAATAATAATAGTGATCGGAGAATCTGTAGTGTGATGTAGTGAATATATGTATATATGGAGAGAGAGAGAGGAATGAGTTAAATGATGACGGCAGATGAATACGCACTGACATGCTCCACATATAAAATACAATAATGACGGAGTCTAATTAGCATACATAAAAAATTAACGCTTTTTTACCAGAGAAAAAAGGTGAATAATTTAACAATAGTCAAGTGAATTAATTACATTAACCAATAATGATAAGAATCAGATTGCAAGGTAAAGCATACCTACACATTAGACACCTAGAAAACTGATCATGAAAGTAAAAACATCCAAAATGAATATTAAACAGCATACAGAGACACACATACATTATCATCATTGAGACGAATACGCTAGACTAGAACATATAGCGTACCGTACACACTGTAACGATCTGTATTGGGAAACACTAAGTAGTGACATTCACAAAAAGAAATGTATTTATCTCACTTTTATTACACGAGCTATGAACACACACACACACACACCAATGAACGAGATGTATAGTATGCTTTTTGTCATTTACAACAGAGATCCAATTCAAATGGTTTCGTATTTGTAGTTATGTGATTTTGTTAATCAGAATTGTCTAACAAACAAACAAACAAAAGATTAGTTGTTATAACAAATGACTAAATTGAAAGTTTATATCATTGGGAAAGTGGACGGGAAAATAAACTCAAGAAAAATATCTCTCATTAAAAAAAAAAAGAAAAAAAGTAAATAGAAACTAATAATTAAAATAAAAACAAAAGGATAATAATCCAGTTAAGAATTACAATATACGCCTAGGATTTTGTAAATTTTGAAAAGGAGGCAAAGCAATAGTATTTTCAAGTCAATTTGTAAATAGATTGAATAGATTAAAAGAGAAAGAGGTAATTAGCTCAGCATTATAGAGATAGGTCATTTCAAGATTCATACATACATACATACACAGATCGACAGAGATAGAGAGAATTACTGAAATAGTCATAAATTATAAATTGGATCTTTTTCAACATTGAAAAAATACAAGAATATTATGTAATAATTCTCTCGGAATGTTACTCAATGATTGTCACATAGATTGATTTAAAAAGGAAATGAGATTTCTTTTTCTTGTAAAGAAAAGCAATTATAGTTTTACAAAATTCAACACACACACATACATTGTTGAAGTGGTTCACATACTCCAACTGTATTGAAAGAGTGAAATATGAGTTGACTGATGCTGAATAAAATAACTGATTTGGACGTATTATATTCAGAGATTTATTATTATTATTATTATTATCGATGAAATTAACGGGGAAAGAAGGAACACACGTGTATAATGAACGGAAACCGCTAATGATTATGACGATGTTGATGACAATGAGATAACAATAATAAGTGAAATTGATAAATTTCTAAAGAAAACTACTACTACTACTAAAGAGGAAAAATACAATGATAGAAAAACAGAAAATAAAATGCTGTATCACTGAAATCTACTTCGCTCCTTCTCCCCTACACACACACACTATTCGAATGTCATAATGGGTCTTAAATTAAGTTTTTTTTAAAAAAAGGAGAATAGCATCTATCACCGACAATGAAATCAAAATTATTCAATAAAGAAAGCATGGTATCATTGTAATATTTTTCTCTTTCTATCTATTCAGAAAGGATTGAAATTGGACAATTGATAACGAGTAGTAGAATCACTAGTATGACCAAGTTGTCCAACTACTCCATTCTGTAAACCAAAAAAAAAATGAGAGAAAAAAAGGAAACAGGAATTCAGAATTCTGGACATAGTAAATGTTTAATCGTAATAGAAGTGTTGAACAAGTTTATTATACAACACAATAAATTACAGAACGAACAAGAAATAATTTTTCTAAACAATTCTCCCATTTGGAAATGCTTATCTTTTATTTAGATCATAACAAAAGGTATGAGGTTACAACTCAAAATACTTAAAATTTCTTTTCGTATTATCTACTCATTTAAAACAAAGAGAGATTTTCAGTAACACAACTCTAACTGACAGACATTTATTATTAGTGTGAAAATCTTTCTCAAAATGTTTTAATTATTCCATACAACTTTCACACAGAATGTTGTTTACTACTATTAAACAGGAGATATTTGTGAGTCGGGAAAGAAGTACAAAGTAAAAATACATACGAAAGTGATCACTTACGAAAATCGATATCATGCAGAAGCTGTGATCAGTAAGATCGTCAACAATAATCCAGTGTTTTTGGGAAAAAAATTCATTTTAGAATAGAGTGAATCAGAAAATGTTAGCTGCTTACACATTTTCAGAAGCAATATCATTCACCTTCGTCGTACACTCTATCTTCCTAAATTTACATCTAGGCCAAATTTATTAAGCGTAAGCAACTACTATTGTTAACAGTTTGGTTTATCGATTTTATCACTGGTCTTCCATCTACAGCGAATCATAATGAAAATAGAGAGCCTGGCACAAATATGCATCAGTTCAAGTTCCCAAAATACAACAACACAGAATATATATAAAACAGATAATCATAAAGGAAATATCAATTTGATGTAACTTACAAAAAACTATTAGTAATTTTACGCTGAATAGTAAATATTTCATTACACGTTAATCACATTGTTAGTACTATAGGGAGTTCTAAATATTCCACGATCTGGACAGGGTCAAACTAAAATACGATGATTGATCCATTTTCAACTAATCAGTGCTAGAGGACAAGCCTCGATTACATTAGCAACTAAGGATTTAAAAATGATGTTAACTGATATCTGATGACCAGTTATTATGAATATATTACCACATACTACTTAGGCCAAATTTCTCTGAATCATTTAATACCTTTGTTTGAACTTGAGACCACGTGGCTAGTACGCAAATGACTTGAGCAGTAAATAGGAATAGTAAATAGTATGAATTGTTTGGACGTGATAGTATAGCCCCCAAATGCCCTGGTACGGCCGAGAGTGGGGAGAGTCCGCTCTCCCTTTCCAAATGCTTTCACATGGCCACGCGTATATAGCCTCTGCCAGGGAAGTCCTACTCACCACCTTCTCGCACCAGGGGTGTTGTTTACAAAATTAAGAGAACGAAAAGCGAATGTCTGGCGCTTTATCTAAGTTGGTGTTCCGTACGGAGGGTCAACCTAGGGGAGTTGGAAAACCCTGATTTCAAACCAATCGTGCACATGGGCTCCAGGATCGTGAAGGAACAAATGGCGTGTGAACCAATTGTTGGGCACCGGCTACCATGGGACTGCATCTCCTTACGACGCTCCACTGCCTTGTGGATCAGACCTTCATATCGAAGGCTCCGAGTGTGGCCCCCTAAGAAAACTACCTGCTTCGGTTTGGGCACCCAGGCAGTATCACAGCCCTCACACATATCAAATGAGGTTTGTGTGGCGCGTATGTATTTGGTGCATCCTTGTACCAATATCTATGTGTTAAAATAAATAAATAGTATATTAGTATGATGTACACAAATAGCACTAAAAACGGATTTAACGTGTTAAACACAAAAATGCCTAGATGAAATATGACATATTCGTAATATGAATCACTTACCACGGGATTATTCATTTTTGTAGGAAAATTATTAGCTGGGTGCATGGTGGGTGAAAAAGAACTAGCAGTTACTTGTGAATGATAATGGGCAGATGTAGAGTTCGCCAAGTTAGAAAATGGATTTGCATTAAATGACTGCTGGGCATTTGAGAGGAATGGGTTTTTACTTTCTGGATTAGATAGACTCAAAGTTTCAGGAAACTGATTGATACTTGAAGGTACTGTCATAATGGGATAACTTGTGAATGGATTAGTAAATCTGTTAAAAGCTGGAGGATTTGGAACTCCAACTGTTGGATTGGCAAAGGGATTGAGTGATTGTAAACTATCCTTGAAAGATGTATTCGCAGACCATCCATGTGTTGTTTCGACAACAGGATTATTGGAATAAGAAATATGAGGTGAGAATGGGGTGACCCATTGACTGTCTGATACCCTAGACACATTGGTTTTAGGTAATGTAATATCATTTGTACCTTTTTCCATTATTTCTGGATTCATTGATTTAAGTCCGGTATTTTTAAATAAACCATCCAATTCTGCAAGTGCGGCATACTTATCTCCACCACTTGGACCAGGGAAACTAGACATTGTATTTATCGATGAACTTGAGTAAATATTCGATATAGTAGGATTTATGTTAGAAGGGAATGATTTAACTGTTGAATTATTTAAAGAAGTAAGGACATCAGGACAGAAATTCGCGAAGAGATCAGACTTCGTAGTAGTAGTTGTTGTTGTTGTGATAGTGATGGTAACAGCAATAGTATTTGAAGAGGAAGAAGTTGGAGTGGAAAAAGAAGCGAATGGATCAGCGGTCGCTTTGTTAAATGCATCCTGTTTTTGACTAAAGGTGAAATGATTCGTGACAGATTGTTGTGGTATCTAAAATTAATGATAAGATTTCATAAATCGAGAGAAAAACAGTCTGCAAAAGAACACAATGGCACAAACAGTATAAATAAAAAACATCGTAAACTATTCTTGAGTTTAGAATGAGAACACTTCAGTTTTAGATTACTGAGAATATTCGGTGACTTTTTTGTTCGATCATTGTTATCTTCGATGGATTGCAGAAATCTGTGAAACAACTGTTTCCTTTGTATTGTCTAAACTTGCATTAATTTATTTCTGTTATTTATTTACTCTGAAGTGGCTTGCATTAAGTCACGAAACGTCAGAAATATAAGTTTCTACTCATTGGGATATAACAAAAAATGTTTATTTATTATTACCTTTCCTGATTGCATTTCCAACTGAACTTGCTCCCCGTAATAAACCACTTGTTTACTTGCCCCCTGAACAAGGGCTGATACTACTCGACGTAAGAAAGAAGATAAAATTGTAGACAAAGAGTTTATTATACAGCAACCACAAATCCCCGGCTGACCAACCACTAATTCAAAAACTGTATCAAAGGTATACTGAATTATGTATTATTTACTTACCTAGTCAATAGGTTTATTCAAATATATCGAACTAAGCAGTAGTTGATGCAAATTAATCAATAATTTAGTGTATGTATGGAATTCGCAACGCCAATTAACTTAACTGAACTAACTAACAATATAATAAATTACTGAGTTGAATATTTGCTTTGTATTGATACATGGTATTCCTACTAGGTGTTAACAATCCTTCAGAAACAACGATGATTCAACATAGAGACGTCACCGAATATCCTCAAATTAAAAGTGAGAAGTTTTTCTCCACATAACAGATTCACATCATCACTACCCAGTTCTATTGTAGCTGTTTCCAAAATGTCATCAATGAAAGAGTTGAGGAGAAAAGATGAGGCTGAATAACCCTGTCTAGCATCCAGTTACGTTAAGATTATCTTGACATCAGAACAGATGGCTTCACAAAAACCATTGGTAATCAAGTTTATAACTTCGCTAACCAGTTACACGGTTACATATTGATCACAACTAAAAATTAAAAATCCGTTAAACTGCACACCTATAAATATATTCGCTACTCATTATGAAGGCAGTTAGGAATATATAAAGCGGTATAATCGGTTACATATTAAAACTAACCAAGCTGTCTCCATTGACATTACTAACTTGTGTTGTCCCGCTGGTTAGATTGCTTTGGGAAGGAAGATTAGTACTTGAACGAGTAGGCAGAACAATAAGTCCAGCAGCTGCATTACCACATGTATTACGTTGGCCTTTCTGATTCATGTTTTTCTCTGACTGCTCAAGAAGTCCTCGATTTTCTTTCAAAGCTTCAGATTCTATCTGTGACGTTGGTTCGCGATACCTAAAAGGAATAAAATCATTAAATTACTGATCCATAGATGCACTGTGGGCAATAATCTGTTTAGAATTGATAAACATTTGTAACAGAAACCGAGATATCAACAATAAAACTTAGTTGGACTACAACATTTACAAACCAAATATTGATTCATGGAGAAGTGTAATAATATAGCAGTACGTAGGAAATTCGAATAACAGAGAAGGCTGAATGACACTATGTTTTATCACACTGTACTAATGGGACATGGCAACTTGAACAGGTGGGAGCACATGTGTCCAAGGACCTACGTCGACTATGACTGACCGATTCCTGCTACGCGGCCGGGGTATATCAACGCAATAGTTAGCGATACATAACGTAATTGGTGCACGCAAAAGCGATCGCAATCCAATTAAAACTCAAAACTCTTGACGCAGGTGGCAACTATTAAGAAGACAAAGCGTGCACTGCAAAGAATATACAGTAGAGGAAATTACTTACTTAAACCTGTTAACTATCATGGGGCATAGGCCGCCATCCAGGAGGTAAAAATGCCAGCCCTTTATATACAAATTCACTTTGTAACGATTGTCAATAATTAGGACTTAAATGAATATCATATTGAATGAATATATAGCAGAAACTGTCGGAATACACTTGAATACCATATTGAAATAATCAATAGCTGAAATTATCAGAATACAATCAAATGTTATAATAGGCGATTATCATACTGATTTAATCAATAATCATGCGTTCCTTACCAACAAAACACCGACTATGTGGTAGAAAAAGTATTGTTCGAGTAGTATGCCATACTCAGTGTGATACTCTACTCGCCTATGACCAGTTACTGATCATAAAAGCTTAAGAGACCCAGTATACATTAGTGGATAAAAAGTTTCCAAATGTTTCTACATATTACGCCTAATAATACTAGCCAGCTCTTTAAACTGTAGTGGCTCGAAAGTGCGTATTTTATTTACTAAGCTACTGTACTAATACCAGTAGGTTAGAAGTAAAGTTCTTTCCATGAATTAATTACCATACTGGACATCGATGACTTCTTATTTTTAGGAGTCAAAAATATTGAATCCGAAGTAACATATACTTTTCCCGTGCATTTTCATTATCGGTGAACTTTGAAGTGCAGATACATTCCTATAATATATCTTAAAAAGTTACCATGAACTCAGCTAAGTCAGCAAGATAGATCAAAGTATAAACAGCTTATTGAGCAGTTTCAGTTGATACACTTCAATTAGTTTATTTCCAGGCACTCGAAGTACAAATAAACTCTCAGTATGTGGGGAATCGGTGAGCGTCATGTAGTTATGTGAAGGCATACTAATTAGATCGTTAAAACTTGAAATTAATCTCAGCTGCGGTGTCTTTTAATACGTTTTTGGTATAATTCACTCCTAATCACTGACAATTTCCTTTTTCGTGGTTAGCGTCAGGAATTTCAAGTTCGTAAAAGCAATTCTCTTGTTTTTTAAGCTATAAACGTGAAATCAAATAATTTAAATATCGCACTAAACGTTAAATTAGAAATCTGACTTAATTAGCTCAAACTCTGTAACCTGAAACTGACCACTTGGCTTTTGTCACCCAGTCTCAACGTCGAGAAGTAATGTGCGGAATGGGAGCAGCATCTGCAAAATTTGTTCAAGCAATCGAAACCGATAGTTGTTGAAAGTCGTTACATTATATTCAACCCACTGAATCTTCTATTACTTATCTGCTGTAATTTATATATTTAACCCACTATGTAAAAGTATGTATGAGTCCGATTAAACGTATGTCTGCACCTCAATATTCATCTATCCTCCCACTGGTTGAAAACGCAGACAATCAGAAACTTACAACTGATTAAGACTCATAAAATAAATATAGATATTTCGACTTTTTATTTGCACACCCATTCTCTGATGTGCTTGCTTGTGGATTTAATTAATAATCAACAATAGACTCATGAACTGGTGTTTTAGCTTTGGAACATTCTTAGGTAAATTCATAGTACTATTAAGAGAATTGGCCTGCTAAAATACTCAATTGACGGGACATCACATGTTGGAGTCAAATGGAAAGAAACTAACCATTAAAACAGTTTGTACAGTTAGAAAGTGAACACTGAATGCGAAAGATACGTGTTTTTAATTCGACTGTCGATGCTTTTGGACTTTTGTCGAAATGTATTATTATCCGTGGGTAGGAAAAATTGTAGTCAAGTGTAGCGTTAAGTAAGTCAGTCGCAAAATAGAACCTGGTATATAAGTGCATCGGTTCAAGTTGCCATACTCAATTAACACCCGGGCAGTATCAAAGCTCACACACAAATCAAGTGACTTGTGTGGTGCATATGTATTCGGTACCCCTTTGTACCAATATTTGTGTTCAAATAAATAAATTAGCACAACAATAGGTCATCGCCAGGCTAAATTCCACAGTATTAGTGGTAATAGGAAAGATGAGGGGTCGAAGATACGATTTAAGAAAACATAAATTAGTGAAGTAAAAACAGAAAATAATGCGAGCAATTCAGCTGATGATTTGGGAGAAGATATAGAATGAATCCACTTGCGCCACCGCAAACGATTCTGAGCCATGTCACTCAAAGTATCTAATCAATAGTTAGGATAATCACCTGGACCCCAGCTAGTCTACATTTATTGACATAGCTCAATGAGTTCATGGACAGATGCGATGGAAAGCCCACCAGCTCCGTTAAGTAAACGACGTATCTGACCTGATTAATTTATGAATTCACACAACAGTTTAAATTTATGTGATTTATGAACATCAGCAACTTTTTGTTAGGCCAAAATATCTATTTTTCAGAGCTGATACTGATCAAAGACATGCAATTCTAGGGGAAAAGTTTGGCAGTTGGTATTTGTTTTCTGAAGATAGGATCCCAAGTATAATACAAGCATTTATCTATCCCTAGACTCGTTTTCGGAATAATATATTCCTTCGCCGTCTGATCGTTTAGTTTTCAAAGCAAGCTTTACAGCTTTCAGCAACAAATATAATGTGAAAATTATAATTAAATTATTCGTAAGCAAAGAACATGAGCGTCTTAAGGACTGAATCATACCACATCAAACCGAACACTACGCTCATTTGCCAAGTACTCATCTATGAACGATGCCCCAAGTGTAGACTAATGGTACTATTCAGTCGCCCAAACTGAAGCAGAGGGTGGGGCCCGAACCCAGGATTTAATGGTCGAAATTCGAATGGTCTATCCACTAAGCCGACGTTCAACAAACTGGCGTTATCACTGAGTTATTAGGACATCTAAGAACAAAACAGTTAAATATAACTCGATCATCAAAAAAATTCTTTTTTACCTGGAAAACTAGTACAAACTCTACGGATATTTCCAAGAAAACTGACACGCTGAATGACATCGAGCTGTCTCATCAGCAAAATGCATGCAATTATGATAAGGTAACACTCGCACAATTTGAGTCACAGTTTTACTCACTAATATTTCAAAGGTGTAGTATTATTCTTTTGCAAAATAAATATGACGTTAATGTAACGATTTGACGTGTCGGAATTTAATAGGAAACGTATCTAATCAATTTGAGTATTGGAGAAGCATAGTATACGTACAAAACTAGGTATGCAAAATATGTGATAGAATAGATCCAAAGGTTACTTCGTAATTCCTGCACTGATCTGTGATTATAATACGCGAAAGTTCATTCTATGTTGTTTCATGGTTATAAAACAGCCTATGAATGGACAAAACAGGAATAACCTAGTAGCGTCCAATCACAAATGTCCTTGAAGTATAGCTCAATCATGGTGAGACCTTGCAGTGAGCAGTACTGAGGTTAATAATAAATTATCACATATAAATATTTATATCTCGTTGTGTATGAGTGACCGACTGATAGAAACCATGGTTTAGTTCCTAAAGATTTAAATCACCAAAAACTGAGACAACCGAAGGGTGTTACATAAGCGAAACCATCACTTATCTTGTCACTTGCTAGTTAATACACAGGTAGGTTTTAAATCTAGAGTTAGTCAGACCTACACGACAAGCGACGAGACCGGTGATTATTGGTTCAAACTGTGTCTACGTCCGGATATAATTGTCATGCACTGATTTAAATATTTAGCCTGATGCTATTTTACATTAATTAAGGTGCTATCTCATCTCTTCGAACCATATTTTTGATGTCCAGTTGTTTGTCATTATCTTATCTTTACTCTGATGAGAAATTGGACGGGTCCATATCTATTCACCCTTAAGTTATGACTGAAAAATCAGCCGATATTTACGGGCAGGACTCAGGAACGTAAAATATTGGTGGCGGATTCAACCAGCTCTAGGTAATCCATAAGGTTCTGCTTGAAGTTAGCGTGGTAACTACACGAACACATACTGACTTCAACCCTTGTTCAAAATGGCTACTAAGGATGGAAATATTGATGGCGCTACTGGTAGTGTTGAACGCAAAGCACTAAGTGAACGATGAAGGGCAACAAAGACAATGTCGAAAGAGGTACCGTAAACATTGGGTAGTGCCATGAACAGTGTTTATCCTTGCTGTGCGTGTTACTTTGAAGAATACAATAATGCTATCTTCCACCAAAAATCCTTAGCTTTTTTATGCAAACTTTCATAGTTTTCGCAGCTCGGCTACTCTTTTTGAAAGGAAAAACCAAAGCAATACACTCACCATTTTTGTAGCTGGTACTTCTGTCTTAAATAATTATCTAAAGCTCCATCTTTCAAGTCTTTCTCAGTCATGGTTTGGTCTTCGCTAAGAGCCAAATATATTTTTCGGCATGCCTATTTGAAATTATCCGTAGAAAACCACTGTACCTTGTTTCCACGAGTGCAGAGGAAGTCAATCTCTGACTGGGAAAAATTTGACATTGAAATTGATTTCACTCTGTGGTTATATTTTCTCCTAAACATAACAATATTATAAGGTTTGTGCTTACAGAGCACCACTGCATGTTGTACAAACAAAGGAACCAATTGTGATGTTTATGTACGTCGGGCCTCTTTGATGACAATCAAAACAGTACTTGTTTTCTCCATGAGTAACTAAAGTACGCAAAAACTGCAACGTAGGGTCCTGCATAACTTGACCGAGTCCGCCAAACCGCTAGTTCATGAGTGGCGCGTATAACGACACTAGGTACAAACGTTCCTAGTTGACCAAACTTATAGATACAAGAGCCAAGGTATTTATTTTAATTGCTTTCAAGCTAGCGGAATGAATTTTGTGATATTTATGATACAATTCACTGAGAGGTTAACATAAGGTCTCGATCTCTATACGCGCGAAACAAAAATGGCGGTAGTATTTTTCCGCGTTGAGTAAATGTTTGCAATCACACGAACAGCATGTACAAACAGTGTTGAAAAGACTGGATGAACATGGAATAAACGTACATCAAAGTAAGTGTGTTTTCGGTGTTCAAACTTTAGAATTTCTCAGTCACACAATAAGCCCAGAAGGGATTAAACCGATAAAAAAAAGTAAGTAGACACCATCAAACAATACCCCGTACCTAGTTCTCTAACACAACTGAGAAGTTTTCTAGGTCTAATTAACTTTTATCTCAGATTCATACCAGGTTGTGCACAATTAATTCAACCTTTGACAGATCCACTTAAAGGAAAACCAAAAGAATTCAAACTGTCTTCTGACGCCGTCGAAACTATTAAACAGCTTAAAGATAAACTGGCTCAAGCAACTACGTTGATATGTCTGAATTCTCTTTCCCTACTTGCTTCGATGGTGGATGCTTCAGATAAAGCAGTAGGCGGTACCCTTAACCAACTGGTTAAAAACGCCTGGAAACCAATTGCTTTCTTCTCGAAAAGACTCGCTTCAGCAGAGACAAGGTATTCTACATTCGGGAGAGAACTTCTTGCAATCTACCTAACCATTAAACACTTCCGACACATGTTAGAAGGCAGGGAATTTATGGACTTTACGGATCACAAACCACTAACGAATGCATTATTATTATTATTATTCACAAACATCTTATGGGTACATAAGTGTTGTGAAGAAACCATTTCGGGTTTCTTCAAAAAATGCAATAATACACAATTTTCAATAATGTTAGCATTACACTCGCCGTATTTAAAAAAATTAGAGTAATAATAGTAGAATATTAATGATAATAAATCGGTTCTGTGTAATTGAGAAGAACGTTGAATTGAGTTTAAAGAAGGAAATGGAGAAAATAAGGGAAGAGAAATAAAGGAGACGTGAAATACGCAAACAGTTTAATTGGCGTGTTTATGAACGTAAAACAAGAACAAACGACTATGTATGTATCGTCAAATTAGTAACAAAAAATAATTAAGAAAAAATAACTTATAATTGTAGTAAGATAGGACGCTAGAATAAATGCTTGTGCAGTCATAGTTTGGAGTGATGCGATGAAAGTCTCAATTGAGTGAAAAGGATAATGAAATATCAATATATGTGAGTCATATATGTGGAGATATATCTGACAAGCTTATTTTGTAAATAGTTTTTAATATTATTTGTATTTGTCCATTTCTCACTGAATGTACATTTATCATTAAATGATTGTACCTGTTGTTTAAGTAAATGACCTTGAAGACTTTTTCCGTTGTGTTACTAACATAGCGTGACATACTTTCGGTGGTTCGCAAATACACTACTACGCACATACCCATTGTTCTATTCTCGCTCGCTACCGAGTCAATTGTGTTCTAAACTGGATATTATCCTCATTTTAGACTGCTGTGTCATTTCCATTATATCCCACGTCAAAGAAACTTATTGGTGTCAAATTTACCTCCGTGGAATTATTACACATTTATAATTGTGGATTTATGGGACCAAAACTCAACAGAATACGCAACCACTAGCCAATTTAAGTAACGTCCCTGAACTTTTAATTTGTGTTGTTAATTTATAAATTATTATTGTTACATTAATTTTGGACGTAATAACTTTATCACTGATTTTTGGTTATTATACTTTTTGGTCCACCACAATTATTTGGTGAGCCTCGTTTTTTTTATATAGTCATTTACCTTATATATCTGCATATATTTTTTTTATTATTATTACCTGGCACGACACCATTTTTTTGTTTTTGTCATTATGAACTCTCCGGGTAAACTTATTGATATTGATAATTCACCGTCCAATCTTCTAAGCTCTCCACAACCAGAGGATAATGCTTTCAACTCGATCAACGCTATCTCAGAGTTAAGATTACCAACGTATTGTATTAATAATCCAAGAATCTGGTTTGCTCAGATTGAAGCTTTATTCATGGCTAGAGGCATAAAATCTCAGGCATCAAAGTATGCATACGTAGTCGGTGCACTTCCTGTTGAGATTGCCGCTGAAGTTGGAGATTTAATCGATCACGTGCCAGAATCTGAACCATACGATAAGATAAAAGCAGCAGTTATTCAACGCACCACGGTCTCAGATGAGAAAAGGCTGCAACAATTGCTAACGTCTTGTGACTTGGGAGATAAAAGACCCTCTCAACTTCTCCGCCACATGAAACAACTCGCCGGTCCATACAGGCTAGACGAAGCCCTCCTAAAGCAAATGTGGTTTCAAAGATTACCACACAGCGTTAGACAAATTCTCAGTGTTTCAGGGAAATCCGTCGCACTTGATGACTTAGCCGACATGGCGGATAAAATGATGGAAGTCTACCATGAGAGTCACGGTGTGAACTCATTGCAACCACCTGGACCACTAGATATTAGCTGTTTAGTCTCCTTTCAAAAGCAGTTAACGCATTTAACGAGCCAGCTAGCGTCTCTGCAATCAACCATAGCAACCATCCAAGCTAGACAATCGAGATCCCCCTCCAGACGAAGATCTTTTTCTAGACAACGGTCTAGGTCACCGAAGCGAACATCTGATGTTTGTTGGTACCACCAAAAATACGGCACCAAAGCACGGCGTTGTACACGACCGTGCACATTTTCTGCGTCTGACACAGAGAATCAGGGAAACGGTCCGGCCAGACAGTGATGGCGGCGCCTGTTTCTGGCCACTACCCGAGCCGTCTATTTCATGTCAGGGATCGAATTTCGGGCTCAGATTTTTTGGTCGATACGGGAGCCGAAATCAGCATTATCCCATTGCACCTCTCTCAACGACGGCACACTCAGAGTACTAAATTGTCTCTAGTCGCAGCCAATAACACAGTCATTAAGACTTATGGCGAACAATCACTTATTTTAGATCTCGGTCTCCGGAGACGTTTCACATGGGTTTTCATCGTAGCAGAAATCAAACAACCCATTATCGGGGCCGATTTTCTCGGTGCTTACAACCTACTTGTAGATATGGCAAAAAAGAAACTAATCGACAAAAACACAAGCTTACAGGTCAGTGGCACAACTATCTCCAGTTACGAAATCCATGGAGTCCGTATGTTAAGACCTGAGAACAAAATTTTCACCGATATCCTGTCGAAGTATGAAAGTATAACCAGAGCCGATTACCAAAACGAATGCTCCAAACATCATGTCCAACACAGTATTACTACTACAGGACCACCTATCCGCGCCAGGGCGAGAAGACTCCCTCCAAACAAGTTGCAGTTCGCTAAGAGAGAATTCGAACATATGATGCAACTTGGGATAATCAGACAATCTAACAGCCCTTGGGCCTCGCCGCTGCATATGGTTCCCAAGAAAGATCAAGACTGGCGCCCATGTGGAGATTATCGCCGTTTGAATAACCAGACTATCCCAGACCGGTATCCGATACCTCACCTGCATGATTTTTCTTTAAATCTACATGGAAAACAGATTTTTTCAAAGTTAGATCTAGTCCGAGCATACCATCAAATACCGATGGCACCTGAGGATATCGAGAAAACAGCCGTAATCACACCTTTTGGCTTGTTTGAGTTCTTGAGGATGCCTTTCGGACTAAAAAACGCCGCTCAAACCTTCCAGAGATTTATGGACGAAGTAACTAGAGGTTTGGATTTCGTATTTGTCTATATCGACGATGTTTTAATCGCTAGTTCTTCCATTGACGAACATGTTCAGCACCTACACACACTTTTTGAACGTTTCAAAAGTTATGGTGTTGTAATCAACCCTTCGAAGTGTATATTTGGCGCCTCATCTCTGGAATTCCTGGGACACCACATTGATTCCCAAGGAATTAAACCGCTTGAAGAGAAAGTCAAAGCTATCTCCAGCTATCCAGAACCAACCTCAGTAAAATCACTACGTCGTTTTCTCGGAACATGTAATTTTTATCGACGATTTCTACCAAATTGTGCCGATGTACTTCAGCCATTGACAGATTTACTGAAAAACGATAAATCAGGTACCAAGAAAGAAAAGAACCAAATATTCAAGTTACCTTCCGACGCCAAAATAGCATTTGAAAAAGCTAAATCCATGATTGCTAATGCTACCATGCTCCAACACCTAAATACTGACCCCACAACACTGTTGATCCTATGCACGGATGCTTCACAAAAAGCCGTTGGGGCAGTATTACAACAGCGGGTAAACAACACTATTACCCCCATTGCCTTTTTCTCCAAGAGATTATCGCCAGCACAAGAACGTTATAGTACTTTTGGACGCGAACTCTTAGCTATGTATTTAGCAGTAAAACATTTCAACTTTTTGCTACAGGGTCGTGATTTCATCATTATGACAGATCACAAACCTCTTTGCCATTCTTTTAGCACATCGTATGACAAACACTCCCCACGAGAAGCAAGACAACTTGATTATATCTCCCAATTTACCACAGACATCAGGTTTATCAAAGGTCACATGAACATTGTTGCAGATGCACTATCTAGGAGGGATATCAATACGATGGTACTCAATCATGACATCAGCCTTGAAACCTTAGCTAAATTACAAGCAGACGATGCAGAATTGAAAGCCTGCAAAGAAAAGTCTAGCTTAGATCTCAAACCTGTACCGATTCCTCTTTCAGATACATTTATCATATGCGACACTTCAACAGGCAACAATCGTCCGTTTGTCCCGCACGCTTGCCGACGAAAAATATTTCAACATTTACATGGTCTTTCACATCCAGGCATCAGAGCAACAACAAAGCTCATTACTGAACGTTTTGTGTGGCCTAAAATCAACTCGGATGTTAAACGTTGGACACGTAACTGTCTCCAGTGCCAACGCAGTAAGACGCAAAAACACACCTACAGTCCAATTGGGAAGTTCCCTATCCCTGACAAACGCTTCCAGCACGTGCATTTAGATTTAGTTGGGCCTCTGCCACCATCAAACTCTTTCACACATATCCTCACCGCAATAGATAGGTTCACAAGATGGGCCATAGCATGCCCCATTAAAGACACATCAGCAGAAACAGTTGCTTCAGTCTTCCTTGACCGCTGGATAACTAACTATGGAGTACCATCAATAATCACAACAGATCGTGGTCCTCAATTTCAATCTGTCCTTTTCCAGGAGTTCACTAAACTTCTAGGGGTCAACCATATTAAAACCACAGCTTACCACCCAGCAGCTAATGGCATGGTTGAAAGATTCCATCGCCAATTAAAAAGCTCACTGATGGCGCAAGCTGACTCATCAAAGTGGAGCGATGCCTTACCGCTTGTACTCCTCGGTATTCGTTCAACCATAAAGGAAGACATTGGATGTACAGCCGCTGAGTTAGTCTATGGTACAACTCTAACGTTACCCGGCCAAATAGTCAACTATGAACCTACAACGCACGGGGATTCTACTCACTTCGCAAGCCGCCTATTACAAATGATGCAGAACATTAGAGCAATACCACCTCGAGAATACAACAACCGAGTCCATCTCGATAAACATTTAGAAACGTGCAAATTTGTTTTTGTTCGAGTAGACGCGGTAAAAAAGCCACTGACTCCACCGTACGAAGGCCCTTATAAAGTAATAAAACGCACCCACAAATATTTCATTATCAATAAAAATGGGAACAAGGAGACAATTTCCATTGACCGAATAAAACCAGCTTTCTACGAAGTCCCTCAAGCCACAGAAGACAATGCTGCGAACAAACAATCACTCCCATCAATTGCTAAGAAACAAGAGGAAGAGAAAAAACTTAGCACTACACCCTCTTGTTTAACACGATCTGGGAGACTTATAAAAAAACCAAAGCGTTATGTACATTTTGCCATATAAAAAAAACACACAAATAAAACAATCAAAGCAAACAATTATCAAGGACCTACACTATTAATCTCATCTAAAAATTTTTTTTCTTTTCACAGTGTTCATAATTAATCACTTTTTTTCCCACAATTATTCGTTTTGTCACATTTTTTTTAAAAAAAAATTGTAACAATAATAAACGGGTAAACTCTTTTTAATTATTTATTCATTATACACAAAAATAAGCGGTTCAATTTTTTTTTGTGTGTGGGTTATTAACAGTTTTACACATTATCCTTGTTAGCCAAACAAGACATTAAATGACAGTATTTCCTCTTTTTTTTGTATTCGTTATGCTATGCTACATTATTGCTATTCTCAAACAACAACACACTCCATCTTATTAATGTCATATCCATCTCTACAACTTTTGTTGGTTATAACTGTAAATATTATTTTCGTATATACACATATATCATATTCTTACATTTTTTTTTATTATAACCAGTGTTACCTCCGGACACTCTGGGGGGAGCTATGTGGAGATATATCTGACAAGCTTATTTTGTAAATAGTTTTTAATATTATTTGTATTTGTCCATTTCTCACTGAATGTACATTTATCATTAAATGATTGTACCTGTTGTTTAAGTAAATGACCTTGAAGACTTTTTCCGTTGTGTTACTAACATAGCGTGACATACTTTCGGTGGTTCGCAAATACACTACTACGCACATACCCATTGTTCTATTCTCGCTCGCTACCGAGTCAATTGTGTTCTAAACTGGATATTATCCTCATTTTAGACTGCTGTGTCATTTCCATTATATCCCACGTCAAAGAAACTTATTGGTGTCAAATTTACCTCCGTGGAATTATTACACATTTATAATTGTGGATTTATGGGACCAAAACTCAACAGAATACGCAACCACTAGCCAATTTAAGTAACGTCCCTGAACTTTTAATTTGTGTTGTTAATTTATAAATTATTATTGTTACATTAATTTTGGACGTAATAACTTTATCACTGATTTTTGGTTATTATACTTTTTGGTCCACCACATATATGCATAGTGAAGATAAAACGGGTCTGAGAAGTTAATTTAAGTGTAACACAAGTTATTGTCTTAATTACAAACATCGTAATCTAAAAAATATTTATTTAGAGGGAAAGAAGAGAGAAAAGAAGTGAACACCTAGTGAAAAGTTTCATCCATGATAAGAATAATAATTGCGTAATGAATATCAACCTCAGAAGGAAACCAACAATTTGATAAAATAAAATAAAAATTCTTTAATGCACTCGGATGAATACACTTAGATTTATGTAATAGTATGCAGAGTGAAATCGGATATTAGCATAAATATTTGTGCAATAATAATTAAGAATGATGCTATGAAAGTCACAATTAATTTCAAAGGACAGTCAAGAATTAAATATGTTAAGAAGAATAAGAAGATATAAAAGGAATATCTAATGTGTCGGGGGAACAATAATGATATTAATAACAGTAATAATTATAGATACGAACATAAGAAGACTTCATATATTAAGATAAATATAAATAAAATAAAATAGACGTGAAAGGATTTAAAGGTTTTATTTTGCTTTTCAGGCAATTAAATGGATGATGGACCTTGTTTGTATAAATCATTATTGAATACATTGATATTTAATAGCTGAAATAATCCACTTTCGGAAAGAAAATCATCAAGGAGACTTTTGAACCGGGTTGTAGTTTCACTGCAACAGAGGTTTACTGGAAGTCTGTTCCACATGGTTGAGTAGCGAATAAGGAAAAAATTCTGACGTAAGTTTGTGTGGCTTCTTGGAATCACTAGAATATTCTCCTTATTGAGTAGATTGTGGGATGATATCATGAGATATGAAGGGGTGGATACCGAAGAGTAGGAAATACCGTTAATAAGACGGTAGATGAAGACAAGATTTAATTTGATACGTCTGATCCAAAGAGGTTCTAAGTTGAGCTGTTGACATCTTTGGTGATAGTCTTTGTTATCGGAATACCCCAGAACAGCTTTGGTGAGCTTTCTTTGAACACCTTCAATTTTAATCAGGTCATTATGTCTGCAATTACTGTAAACTAAAATACCATATTCAAGAATGGGTAAGACACATTTTCTGTATAATAACAATCTCGAGTCGATATTATTAAAGTTCATCATTATCAATCCGATCAGCTTTCTAGCTTTCGATACTTGAGATATAATGTGCTCAGAAAAGTTCAGACTGTTGCTATATCATAAACACAGGTCACGAACAGTGTTGAGAGGTTTGAGCGTATGTTTGTGTACAGTCAGATTTAGGTTAAGTCAGCGACCAATGTGAATAAATCCACTGTTGCCAACATTAAGTGGCAATTTCCACGAAACAGTCCATTCATATAACTTCTTTATTTCCTCTTGGATTACCTCTGAAATATAGCCTTCTTCCGTGGGAGAAGAGAATGAATAAACTACTTTCAGGTCATCAGCAAAAAGGAAAGGCTCGCCATACTGAAAGAGGGAACACACGTCATTGATAAAAAGGAGGAAGAATAATGGACCAACCACACTTCCTTGTATAACCACACTGGTTACATTCACAGGTTTAGAGTAGCACGATCCAAAGCGAACGATTTGGCTACGTTCTTCTAAAAAAGACTTGAGCCAAGATTAAAGGGGATTCTGTATGCCAAATGAAGAGAGTTTTAAAAGAAGAAGTTTGTGTGAGACACTGTCGAAAGCCTTACTAAAATCGAAGTAAAGAATTATCACTGACTGACCAACATCTCTTTCCTGGGTAATTTGATCAAAAAACTCCAGGTGCGATGTGAAACATGAGCATTTAGTCATAAACCCGTGTTGGGATGGGCTGATCAGACTAGCCGAAAGTAAAAATGATAATAGCTGTTTGTGGATGTTTTTTCCATGATTCTTGAGAGCACGGATGTCAAATTAATTGGCCTATAGTTAATAATATCACTACGTGGTCCTGTTTGGGATCTAGGGGTGATAAGGGATGTTTTCCATAAAGATGGATAGGTTCCATATTCCATAGACAGATTGAAAAGTTTCAAACAAAATAGCGGAAATTCTCTATTTCCATATTTCACAAATGAGAGCCGATAAATACTCACCTCGAGAAGTCCGACACCTTGACTATATATCACAGTTCACAAGCGATATCCGACATGTCAAAGGTCAGGACAATCAGGCGGCAGATGCTTTATCTAGGCTAGAAATGAACGTGCTACAACAGTCTACAGTAAACTTCGAGACGTTGAGAAACGAACAAGAGCAGGATCTAGAATTACAAAACCTACTTAAAACAAATAATTCAAGTCTTAATTTAAAACAGTTCCCATCACCTGTCGATGGCATTCTAATCTACTGTGACACGACCAAGGCAATTCCGCGACCTTTCGTTCCCAAAAGTATGCGAAAGTTGATATATAATAACTTTCATTCTTTGTCTCATCCTGGCGCAAAAGCTTCAACAAAACTAATCAATGCCAGATATATATGGCCGAATTTACAGAAGGATGGACACAAATGGGTTAGAGAGTGTTCAGCATGTCAACAATCAAAGATTAATCGTCACACAAATTCACCCATAGGTGTTTTCTCGCAACCAGATGCACGTTTTGCCCATGTGCATATCGACTTGGTAGGTCCTTTACCACGTTCAAACGGTTTTAATTATCTTTTTACATGCATAGATCGATTTACCAGATTTCCTATAGCCATCCCGATAGCGGACATCACAGCGGAAACAGTAGCCAAGGTTTTCATGCAGAACTGGGTAACCATTTTTGGTCTCAGCTCGGATTCACATGTCAACACAAAGCAGAATATGGAGAGTCACAACCTGAGCAGTGTAGGTGTTGCTCTCCAGAGACATAATAAATCCAATAATTAGCGTTTTCTCACTTAGTATGGCTGACAGATTAAACTTTTGGGTCGTATAGTTATTCTGACAATAAAAGAACCATATTCATACGAGCTGTCTAGTCAGTGACACACTACACGAGGAACTGGTGCAGAATGAAATGTAAATGGCAATATATTTAGTTAGTTGTAGTGTACAGCAGTCCTGAATGTGTAGATGAGTTCCACCTAAGCAAACGTACGTTATCCTGTGATGAATTTAAACGCCTTGCAGTAGTCGACTTTAATCCATCATCTAAACCTGGAGAGCCTTAAAAGTAGGCGAAAAGCATCACTTGATTGCAGACACATAGAAACGAAATATCAAAAGATTTAATATAAAACATTAGAGTATGACAGAAAACAGGATCAACACAATTCCCAAGAGAAAAAAGATAATACACGAAACTAATATATCACACAGTAAACACATCCTTAGTGAGATCCGAACTCGAAACCTTTGTTAAGACTGCAAACTGCTGCTCAAAAGGTGACCCGGGTATCCTGGAAAAAGCACAGAAAGACGCAATTCCAGAATTCTAAAGTTTACCGTGCAAAGAGAGGGCTACGAAGTTAGACTTCCTTACTCTGTCCTACCTCAGATTGCGAGGTGATCTGATTTTGATATATAGAATACTAAGGAATAGTTTTGGACCTGATATATCCCCTCTTTTTTGACTTTGCATACAGTGTTCGTACGTCCTAAGCTTGAGTGCTACGTACAAGCGGCTAGCCCCTGCTTAAAAAAGACTGTGAGCCTCTGAAAAAAGGTTCAGAGAGCAGTAAATAAGATTATTCTCGGAATTGCGAAGCTTCCGTTGATGCTTGACCGGCCAAGCTTAAACTTTTCCCGTTGTCATATCGTAGAACTAAAGGCGACTTTATCACAGTTCTCAAATTGGTTAGTTATAAATTTGCACCTGGTATGCCCTCATTTTCCTTATCTTACAAGACAGAGAATTTGCGAGGACACTCCAAAAATGTTCACAAGCCCAGAGCAAATTGCCTGTTAACCGAGGCCATCTCACTGGTTGATACTGCAAAGAAGTGTTTTAGCAAGCGTAGTCGGAATACGTCAAACAGCACTCGATCTGTCGACACACAAATCGACATGAAGCAAACTAAGGTTAGTTCGATAGTAGATGACTCACGCCCGTCAAAGAAGGAAAAGCGGCCCCCAAAGAGGCCCGTCTTAAAAAAAGGCTCAAGGAAAGTAGTTTCTTCTGTTCCCCGTCTCCCAGATGGGATCCCACAAGAAACGCCTAGAAGCCGCAATCCCAAGGCTCGATCGGTTCCAAGCGGTAAACATAACCTGACCTCCCAGGTCGTCGACAACCCTCCAGAATCCAACACTAGGTTTGACGCAACTTGTTGCTTCTCCCAGCACAGTTGACGAGTGGGTACAGGTTGTAAGGAAGAAAAAAGTAGCAATATAAAAGGTAATCCTACCCCCGCGAAAGTAGTCGTAAAATCGAAAGCTGATCATAGCGACAGATCAGCCATTTTTCATAGAATCAAGGAGAGCGAGAGCTCTGAACCTAAAGCTCGTTTTAAGCATGACACTGTGCTGATTAAGCAGCTGCTTAATCAACTCATGCCTCAAAATATCACTCGGGGTCACCTTGCTAAAAGTGTACAGACTAGGTAGTCTAGCGAATTTGAAGCTTAATCAATCCAGACTGCTTAAAGTAGTATTCAAATCTTCGAATGAACGCGGTTTAATCTTACAGAATGGACATAAATTAAAGGGTTCAGGAGCTTTTATCCGTAAGGACTTACCGTTGGCAGACCGTGTAAAAAGACGGGAAGCCGAAAAATAACTACAAATTAGGTTAGACGCTGACGAAAAGGACCTGAAAAATGTAAATTTCCGGGTTTTGAGGATGCAACACGAAGCCATTTAAATAGGTTTCGAATCTGTTACACAGATGCCTGAAAATCGCTCAATAAGTGGTCGGAACAAAGTGTACAGATTGACTCTACAAAGCCAGACATAATCGCAGTCACAGAAACC